TTCTCAATTTTACCTTTTTTTGAGGTTGCTAATAGTATTATTTAGTCTCTTCTTGGTGCGGTGTGATGGATTTTGAATATTATGTCTCAATCATTAATTATTATCATGTAATCATGATGACAAATAGACATGCAATATGTATTTTAACAATGATATTGATCAAAGCTTAATCAATTGTTTACTTTTGATATAAAAGGAGATCTGCTTACTAATCAATACTACAGTTAATAGTCATATGTTTAGAATGACAAAATCATCTTCTCCAGCATTATCACCAAAATTTTTTCGATTACATGATATTGGCAAAATTCTTTAGAATTCATTTATATTAGGATTAGGGTTAGAATTATAGTTAGAAATATCTAGCATATTGTAAAACTACTCAAGAAATTTTTTTTGTTAGAATATAAAAAGCGGTTTCTTAAGCAAAATTTTGAATAAAGAGAGATTTTTTGAAAATGAACATTTTGTTTTGATCTTTATGCTCGTGTTATATTACACCAAAACATGATTTATTATTAGATAATTTTACGTGATTGAAAAAATTTTATTAGTAATTTGGTGGCGATCTTGGGGAAGTTGACGAAATCGATTAGAGTTAAATTAATTTCTTATAAAAATAGACCTGATTATTAATCTATAATTCTCTATTTTAAGATAAGGATATTGAATTTTATGAATATCACAGGACAAGAAAAAACAAATAACAGTTTTATTATGATCGATTTTGGGTCAAAGGAAAGTTTTATTTAGAGAACAACTTCTCTTCAAAGTTAAGAACTCCACTGAGTTGCTTTATTTAAGTGAAACGAAACTCCATATTTATATCTTTTTATACTGCTGCATCACTTATTGATTTCTTACACTTTACTAAATAATTAAATACAGCATTTTTTTAGTTTGAAAAGTACAGAAAGTATGGTTCAATAAGTGTGATAAGTTAAGTACAAAAAGTTCAAAAAGTTCATTAAGTCCAAGGTGAAAAGTACAATAAGTTCGCTAAATAAGATAATAATATACTGATTCTATTTTTGGAGCTAAGTTACTACACTGAGCTTATAGAAGTAAAGGAAATAATAATAATAAAAAAACTATAATAATAATAATAATAATAAAAATGTAGAATCAGGACTCTTAATCCCTTTACAACATACATTGTACATACGTTATATATAATTATTTAAATCAAAAAAATTTATGGATATTAATATAAGTACAAATGTTCAATACTTATTTTGTTTATAAGATATTATTATTAATTTCCATTCTGTCGAGCACTATTCTTTTAGCAAAAATAGATCATTGAGATCATTCACTATAAGATAGAATACTGAAAATTCAAAAAGATATACTGCTTGCTGTAACTGAAGTTTTCTAGCAGCATAATGAGTACCCAAAGTTGGGTGAATGTACTTGAAAACTCTTAGATCGTAATCAACTGACATTTCAATGAATTCAAGCTTTTGTTGTTGGTGGGAGCTCATTAGCTTAAATGTTATTACTTCTGCAAAATTCTTTTCTTCGTAGACTGACATATTGATTGGAAAATTTCAAGATAATAAAGAATTTGATATTTTGTAAACTTTTATTGATTATTTTTTTGTGATAAAATAAATTTAGTTGATTTTTTTTCAAAGTAGATGAATTTAGTGCCT